ACTACGACCCCACAACGATGCACTACGACCCCACAACGACCCACTACGACCCCACAACAACCCACAACGACCCACAAGACCCCACAACGACCCCACAACGAGCCACGACGACCAAAACACCAGCCACAACAATGAACAATCCACAAGTTCACAACAATCCAACAACAATCTCTGCATGCGCAAGTGGAAGTCTTGCATTTCCCGCCAATTTTGATCACATGTAATAATAAAATACGTGGTGTATCCACAAACAATAACTTATATTGTTTATTGTCATGCAAAATTGCAACTGAAGGTAATTTTGGGATCGTTGTGGGTCGTTGTTGGATCGTTGTTGGATCGTTGTGGGTCGTTGTTGGGTCGTACTGGGTTGTTGTGGGGTCGTAGTGGGTCGTTGTGCGGTCGTTGTGGGTCGTTGTGGGTCGTAGTGGGTCGTAGTGGGGTCGTAGTGCGGTCGTTAAGGGTTGTTGTGGATCGTTGTGGGGTCGTTGTGGGTCATTGTGGGGTCGTTGTGGGTCGTTGTGGGTCGTAGTGGGGTGTAGTGCGGTCGTTGTGGGTCGTTGTGGATCGTAGTGCGGTCGTTGTGCGTCGCTGAGGGTCGTTGTGGGTCGTTGTGGGTCGTTGTGGATCATTGTGGGGTCGTTGTGGGTCGTAGTGCGGTCGTTGTGGATCGTAGTGGGGTCGTAGTGGGTCGTTGTGGGTCGTTGTGGATCGTTGTGGGTCGCAGTGGGGTCGTTGTGTGTCGTCGTGCGGTCGTTGTGGATCATTGTGGGGTCGTTGTGGGTCGTTGTGGATCGTTGTGGGTCGTTGTGGGTCGTTCCATGTTTTAGTAACTACGGGTAATTCATTCCAGATTTTTGGAACAGAGGTTACAAATGCTCTGTCGCCGAGTGTTTTCTATGTTTTTGTACTATTATTAATATTCAAGCAATGTGTCTTCGTTAGATCTTAGGCTGTAGCACGACGTCTTTCTTACTTTAAATTTTAAAAGATTGACAAGATAGAGAGGTGCATGCATACTGATGGATACATTTAAAAGCAAGCATGGCAATTTTGAACTTGATCCTAAATCGAACAGGAAGCCAGTGTAGTTTGATGAGAGTTGGAGTGATGTGCTCTTGTTATGGATAGAACAGATAAGACGTGCTGCTGTATTTCGTAGCCGTTGTAGTTTAAACAGATGTACATATCTTAGTCCGGTCCTAGACCTTCTTGGAAGGATGGTCCAGAATAATTTGCATGCGCATGCGTCAACTTGTCCAATCAAAACGCTCGCGATTGACTTCCGGAAAAGGGAAAACCCTTACACCTGTTCAACGCGCGCTAAAACGTAAACAAATCAAATAAATATAAAATGTCACCCGAAGTTCGATGTGGAATATACTAGGGACTCTGTCCGCCCCTAAGAGAAATGTACTGTTCAATGCAGCAGGTGATTATACACCAAAGCGATTCTCTTTTTAAGGCATATAGTTTGTGCATCCACAAGATAAGCCTGAACTGGACTGCCTCGCCGTTGACCGTTTTCGTTGCTATCGAAATTGCAGAAATAATGCAAATAGGGCCGTAGAAAATTAAACGTTATAAGAAAATATTAGCCCCTTCCTTCATTTTTGGTTCACTTTTGCAGGGGGCCATTGGAAATTCCTACGTAACTGAAATCGGTGTTTAAAGTATTGCTGTCAAGTCGCAAATATTATTGTTATAATTATAGAAAGTATAAACTTGTCAATTATACAGCACGATAAATAATTAGCCGATCGGTGAGTTTGACACAAGGTATTCCTCGTTCGGCCATTTTAGCCATCTGATTATCCATGAGCGAAATCAGTGGTGAAATCAAAACAACAACAGATGACCGGCAATCGTTGTCAGGTGATGATCACAATGCATCGCAAACGCGAGACAAGTAATAGATCACTTGCAATTGCTCAAACTTTGGCACAAAATTATATTTACACATTTCCATGGCAAATTACTTAATGGCATCAACGAATTTTCTGCCAAAAATATGCAGAAATTTCTTCTCAGTTATTACTGCACGAGTATCCGAGTTTTGCTTCGACATTGCAGATTTTCAATGATACTCGGTTAAATCATAACGATGAGAAATGGCCACATACTCGTCAAATAAAAATTGCCAGTTGAAATCACATTCTTCCACCGTTGGGAATTGAAAAACATTAATTATGCAAAGTTAGTCAATCCAAAAGCAACGCGAGCCTGCTGCAAGCTATTTGTTTCGTAAAACATTTTTATTACGAGTGTTCCCTGTTCAGGGGTTAATTGAACCATGTTTAATAGACGTTCTTATTGAGTTATTGTCTCACTAAGACGAACATTGACGAGTTGAGCTCATTTTCGATAATTTAACATTCAATTTTGGTTCCCTCTTGGGAATCGTCTATGTTTCGTTTCCCTTGGAAGAATGTGATTTCGACTGGCAATTTTTATTTAACGAGTATGTGGCCATTTCATATCGTTATGATTTAAAAAGAATATCATTGAAAAGTTTGAGACACCCTGTATTTACATGATGTGACATATTAATTTAAGGTTGTTATCAAACCAAACTCCAAGATTTCTGGCACAGGATACTACTGGAACATTATCTTGACCAGTGACAATATTTGAGATGTTAACCTTTTTTAGCTGAGCAGCAGTTGCAATTATTAAAAATTTTGTCTTCCCATCATTTACCTCAAGTTTATCAACAGTCATCCAAGTCCTGATATCCTTGATACAATTCTGTAGCACAGATATTACATCAAGCTCATTAGTATAGCACCGTCCGTCTAGAAGGTATAAACGTGCATGGGTATCAAACATTTATATATCATTATACACTGCATGTATGCACGGTTTGCTACAATCATCGTCACTACATCCAAAAGCTCTGTGTATTACTAAAAAGTCTATCTTTATAGGCCTACTAGTTTCTAGTTCGTATTGAATCTTTATTCTATTCACTTACAAATTTAATTTCTATTTTAATGACAATATCACGCGACTGGGCTCTATAAGTACGATTTCTGATACTCCATATATACAGAGTATTTTGGTGCTCCCTCCTTGATCAGCTGTTTCATTTTGATTTATTCTTCTCGTAATCCTCCTCATAAATACGTTTTATCTTCTATAATTTTACAGGATTGTAAAAATATATTTTCGCCCAGGGGAAAATTATGACTCACTTACTCTTTTAATTTATTACAGCGATATCACTCAGGTTGCAAGGGCCGGCGAGTACAAATGGTACTGGTCGTGTTGAAGTGTTCTATGCAGGTCAATGGGGAACAATCTGTGATGATGGTTGGGATATAAAAGACGCTAGAGTTGTATGTCGTCAACTTGGTTACCTGAATACTGTTGCAGCTCTTGGAGGGCTTAAAGTTCCTCATGGTTCTGGACAGATTTGGTTAGACGATGTGCATTGTAAGGGAAGTGAAAAAAATTTGAGCACATGTTCACATAACGGATGGGGAAGCCATAATTGCGGGCACAGTGAGGATGCTGGAGTTGAATGTTCTAATACAGGTAAATCAACGGCATCAGGGCTAAAGACATAAGTTGTAGTGTATAAATTTCTGTAGTGTCCCACATCCACAATGTTATCATCTGTTATCCCAAGCAAAAATTGTATAAATACTCTAAAGGTCACGTGATCGATAAATATCTCACTGTGTATTTTTCAGTGTCTCACTCTCTACTATAAACATAAACGGTATATATATTTAATCCTAATTTCTACTATAAAATTGAAAAGTTGGTAAAAAGTTCTACAATTATTGTCCTGAAATTTAATATATATATATATATATATATATATATATATATATATATATATATATATATATATATATATATATATATATATATATATATATATATATATATATATATATATATACTAAATTTTCGGCTGCGAGCTGCAAGCCTTCATCAGAGTATATGGCAAGAGTCATTACACCTCTATATATAATGTTTATCGTTCCGCTTGATTTCATCTGCTAATATAGAATAACAAGCCGGAAATTCAGCATGTTCATTAGCCGTGTTTTCACTAAGAGTGGAATGTAAAGCCTCTAAGAAAATCCTTTGTTCGTAGTTCTTAACTCCCTTTTCTAATATTACAGCGTCTGATTTTGCAGCGTTGTGACCAGTGCATTCAGCGTGTTCCTTTATTGTCGAAAAAATTCTCTTTCTAACTCCCGGTTTGTGTTCTAACCACCTTGTCGCCCAACATCTCTTTGATTCACCGATATATGTAAATGGCCATTCTCTGCATTTGTATTTGTATACAATAGC